AAGAATTTTCAGGGAGATTTGCACTTTATACCTAAAGAAATAGGGTAAAATTGCAATCAACCCCAATCTTCAATTAGTTTCATTTACATAACTTGAATTAGAGATAAAATTGAATCAATTGTAAGAAAAAATTAAATCAAATCACAAACTTAGCACATACTCCGAAAGACATGCATTTAGATTTTGTCAAAAACAGTAGAATCCGCGTAAACTCAACTCATGCTGCCACTTCAACTTGATTTCTTTTTCTTCTCTTTGTTAGTATTGTTAGTCTTTAGCCCATCTATTTATAGCTTACTAGAGAAGGGTAACAAAGTCCATTCATCTAAAATATGGCATGATGCGCCTAGAATTTAACTCTTCGATCTATCTGAATTGCAGAAAAAGGCTGAAAGAGTAGATTCCTAGGTGAAGGAGAATACAACAATACCATATGTGGGGTCTAGGGAGGATAGTGTGTACGCAAAAGTAAAGAGTTTGTTTTCGATAGAGCCTCGACTCAAGGAACAGTGAAAATAAAGGAACAAACTGTAGCAACAACAATATAATAGGAACAAATGGCACAACATGTAATATAAAGAACCAGCAATAAGAAAAAAAATACAAATATAGTACTAGTACTACTGATAAGACTAAGAGACTAATGACTACCGCCAACATTCCACCCTAATTCTTGACAAGTATACTCTGAACTAAAGAGGTAAAAGGGAGAGAGCTTATTACTCAAAGCTGTCTGCGGATATTATTAGTAATTTAACGGGAGCATTATAATTCATGATTCATTAACAATGTACAAAATATGAATCATTTGCTAATGTAAAAAGATACAACATAACCCCCAAAAAAGAAAAAAGAAAAGAAAAGGCATGTTCCTCTTCCTATTGCTGACCTTTGATCTATTGGTAGCCATGAAATAGGAAAGAGAGCATTATGGCGGTTTTGCATATCATTCATTCAGCAGAATCATGCATCCAAAGATGTAAATCTACATTCACACCACCAAAGGAGACTGTACAGCCAGCAGCATGGACACCAGTCTTCAGACATAGGGAACCAATCAAAATAGCACTATAGAGTCGAAGTAACACTGCCAGAAGCAACACGAATCTCACTCTGGCCAGCGATTATCTCATTTTCTGTTGCTCAATCACTTCATATAAGATGTACATTGTTTCTGTGCTCACAGAAAAAGCAACTATCAACATGACCTGGAGCTTCAATTAGTGGCTCGAGGAATAGAGCCTACCAGAGACTTCCACACATGATGCTGAATGAAACAAGTTACCATCATTCTAATCTGAATAGGCTTTCAGCTCTCTTCGTATGAAACAATAAAGAATGCTGTTGTCCAATTTATGCAACTTGCATTAAATATTTTTTTCATTTTACTTAACAGCTCGCACACCAATAGTCTTGACACGGAATCTAAATTGCGGCTGAGAATCCTCCTCGTCGTCGTCGTCATCGTCATCATCGTCATCTTCACTCGACTCATCTTCCACCCTGTCCCATCTAGAATAGTCTAGCCGTGAATGTCCCTTTGGCTGTGGGATTGCTTCCCAGCTAGTGAACTGTTGTTCAGATGATTTTTCAGCTGTTTGAACATCACCAACTTCAGTTGTCAGTTCGACAGTTCCAGACTCAGCTTCTCCTGTAGTTGCTGCCATGACATCTCTGTCATCTTTCCCTACACCACCTTCATTGGTTTCTTTATTAGTACATTGTTCTTCCTCATCTTCATTCTCATCTTCTTCAAGCTCTACTTCAGCTTCAGGTATTGGAGCAAGTGACTTTCCTTGAACGAAAGAAGAAACGTCTCAAATTACAATCTGTAAAAAGGGACAGATGGCAAGGAAAACAATCTTGTATACCCTTGAACTCTTTTGGCCCGGAACAAAGAATCATGAAACCATTACTCTATATGAGCACTTAAACTAGACCCTATGGTGACTCAATTCACGAATAGCTGTATGAAAACCAGGATATAATGAGAGTCCATTCATTTGCTTGACTAACTTATGCCCCAACTCTGTCTTAATTTAGTGGTTGATTCCCCCAAAGATAGCAAGGACGAATGCTTTAATTATGACATTTTGCTAAAGTAAACGAAAACAAACAAATACATTGTTGAAAACACACAGGCTAATATACAGTTAAACCGTATGCAGAGAGATAGATGGGAGCTGGTAAAAAAGTTAAAACAAATATAAAAAGGAAACGCAACAAAAAAGCAAAATGACTACCAGTTGTGTCTTCAAACGGGCATGAAGATTTTGATACATTTCTGATGATGGATTCAATTCAATCAGCCTATTGACATCGAAAAGTGCTGAATGGTACTCCTTGAGGGTGACTAAGGTTTGAGCGCGCAACATCAGCGCACCTGTGTGTTTTTGATCTAGTTCAAGCACCAACGTACATTCATCCGCTGCCTGCAGCACAAGGCAACACCCAACAATAGGATTAAAACAAGCGCTGAAGAGAGATAATGCTAATCCTACCTATTTTATCTTCCTAATAGCACCAAGCAGAAAATACAGTATACTTCAACAACACAAACTACAGAAAGAGTGCTCAACTTTTCAATAAAAAATTTGCACAGAAAGCAGGCCCTATATATGTATATATATATCTGATAGACTGTTGGAATACTGGCTCTCATTGTTAGTACCATCATCACTTTAGCAGTTTACCAAAAGGGAGACTGACCGATCTTCTCTCCTTCAGCTAACTTATATCCTTGATATTTCAGTATGATATTACATTCTTATATAGGGAAAACCTAAAATAAAAAAGTAAACGTCCAAGCTTACTTGGATGTTTCTAATAGGAAAACCAATATGCTAGTTTCGTTTCGTAATTAATCCTTTTTCGCATCATTTGCACTATGTTATTACTGAAAAGGAAAAACTTTATAGTCATGCTGAATTCAGTAACAAGCAATTTCCCAAAAGAGCAACCATTTACTATCACGAACCATACCAGCAAGAAGTTCCCATTTGAAAGCTGAAAGCATCAGGTTCCAAAGTAGGAGTATCAAGATTTGAGGTTTCGAGTATTTTATATCGAATTCAACATATTTCTGCTTTGTAATTATCGATGAAAGATCTGACCTTTTTGAAATCGTGAAGTTTGAGGAAACAAGCAGCGCGATTGCTGTGGAGAGCGATCTTTTGGGACTTGGTCTTGGCCAAAGAAAGCGCGTCTGTATAAAAACCCAGGGCTTCCGCGTATTTGCCTTCCCTGTACCGCTGGTGTGCTCTCTCGATCTTGTTCATGGTACCTGATGATGCCATGTTTATTTGTATATACGGCAGGCTAATTCGATATATGAGCAAGAAATTGAATCGGATAAAACAGGTAACAAATTTGAAATTTTGTAGAATTGATTTCGAAACAAATCAAACAGTAGGAGATAAGTAAGCGATACTCGGGGCAAATAGCGGTCACCGGGCAAGCGGCATTGCGCGTCTGAGCGGGAGCAAATTTACGGGTCCACCCCTCTTCCGAATGCTTCCTCTTGTCCCTAATTGGAGGAGAAAAAAAAGAGTTTATTCTGTTTACTAGAGTCAAAGTTTGTATACTACTATTTCAGGGCCTCAGGTATTAATATTTTACAAACAGGATTTACATATTTTAAAACTAATTGAAATTTTATAAAATTACATTTTTAATGATTTAAAATGTATAAGAACTGTAATTTGAGGGGGAAAAAATTGACTTCTCAAATTGAAATAGTCATATAAAATGTTTTTTCAAATTATTATAAAATACTTAAAATAGATGGAGTACGACTCACCTCTCCCAAAGTCCTACTACTCCCTCCGGTTCACAATAAATGATCAATTTGCTTTGGACACACCTATTAAAGAAATACTAAATTCTAGACAAAAACAGACAGTGTGACTAAACTACCCTTAATTAAATGTTGCAGCATAGTTATATGTTACAACCCATATTTTTGTACGGAAAAGTACGTCGTAAGTCCGTTGATGTAAGCTCAGAAATGAGATCCTCTTGGAAAGTATATAAAGTGATTTAATGGTGTTACATCCCATTTTTTTCTTGCAAGCCTTTGAGAGTTAATATTCAAGGATAAATGTTTACAAGGGTACATGTTGTTACACCCCGTACTTCAGATGTTACTATCATTATAGGATTATCTAATGCAAACTCAAAAAGGATGAAATCCTTCTACAAGGACAAGAAAGGTTTGCCGAAGTGTTATGCAAGTTAAGATAAATATGAGAGTTGTTAATCATGATTTAAATGAGTTTAAAGCCATGATATGACTATATATGATATTTGTATATGGAGTATAAAGTTTGAGAAAAATCGGATTTAAGTTGCGAAAAAACCGACTAAGGATTTGTCTTGTAATGAAGCTTTTTGAGTAATAAATTTCATATGCTATATGAGGTCATTTTGGGACATATTATATATCAAATTGAAGGTCTTGGAATGTAGTTTCCAACGCTCTTAACCG